ATCCTCTTTTTCATGAAAAGAGAATATCATTTCAAATGGAGATTTTATTATGGAACTAGTAAGTCCCAGCAAAGCACTTGTTAGAGGAACTCTTCGACTGAATTTGTTAGTATAAGCACCTTTTCCGAAGTGCGCAAACAGCTCCCTCATTTGCTTAATTCAGTTAATTGGGGCAAAGAAAAAGAAATTGCCAGAGAAGCGAGGAAAGCAAAATTTTTGAGCGAACCGGAATGCCGAGAAGAAAAATTTAAATAATAAAAGCGGTCGACACGATAAATGACAGAGTAAAAGTGCGATCGTTACTGTCAGATGCATGTACCGTTGGCAAAGAAAACCCGTTATTAATAGCGCAGGGGCAGCCCGGAGGCTTCCGCTGGGAAATAATATATTGTGACCTTTTGCAGTGACGCTACCGAAAATGTGGAGCTTGGCCATAGAATGCCTGACATGCTCGCTTGCCGCTCCGCGCTTTTAGCTTCAGATAAAGCCCATCGTCGCTATTTATACGCGTTTCAATTACAAGCTGAAAGCAAAAGATTTAAGATATAAATATGTGTGTAAATTGAAAACATCAGCACAGCAGTCAAAATGCGTTTATTACGTCGTTTAAAACGCTCCTAAAACAGTTAAAATATAAAAATATTTCATCATAACTATTTTACTACTAGTAGTTGTCTTCGTCTCTATTATCATTTATTCACCTTCCTTAAAATTACAAAGTCATAGATCTTAACGGTCATTATGCTACTTTAGTAGAAAGCAAACTCATTGTCTACCAAACAGATCGGACAAATTCAACAATAGACAGATCATGATTTTGAGATTTACAGAATTCAAATTATATTTATTAAATATGTTTATTAAGTTCCTCCTAGGTTTATCTTTACTTAAGTATTATTAACAATTTAATGTAATTGGTTTTGAAGTTATATACATTATGTAATCAATGGTAACGTGCCAGTAATTCCCGACTACAATTTTAACTTAAGCACCTGCGTGTTCCAAAGGCTCGTTACATAATCGTTCCCTATTTAATGTTCAATTATGATTATTGTCATGGCGCCTTAATTGTTTTAATCTTGTGTAAATAATAGTTCGTATGATTTTATTTGTTATATCACTAGTTGTCGCCCGCGACTCCGTCCATTTGGAATTTAAATAAAACTTAATTAGTAGCCTATATGTTCTTCCAGGCTATATTCTATAGAGATACATTCATCCATCCATCCAAACATTGGCATTTACAATATTAGTAAGATTTAAGACAAACTGTAAATTTGTAAAATACGAAACTATTTATTTCAGATAAATTGATAATATTCTTCTATTATTCGACATTATTATTGTCTATAGAATAATTAACCAACAAAAAAACCCAAGGAGAACAAAATTAAAAGAAAATACAAAAGAAAAATTGTATCGTAATATTCGCTATATTTTTCTAATGTCGCCAAGGACTTTTGTAAGAATAAAGTACATATTTTTTTGTATTCTTTATTTGTATAAAAGTACTCGAAAAGGTTGGTTGTGTAAAAGTCGCTAGCTGGAAACGTATTCCTGTGTAGTACATATCTAACATGGCTTTCAACAGTGCCCCTGGAGCTCTCACAAAATTAAATATAAATAACATTAAGGGTTCGTGAGGTTAGGGAGTCGAATTAAAAAATAATAGTGCTTCGGGGGAATCGTCATGTCACATTGAACCGACACGCTTTTTATACTATATTAAATGTTTATTTTAATATATTTCCATATAACACAGGCTTTATAAAGAGTATAAATTAAATAATCAAATTTACCTAAGGGATGACGGTTAACATACATTTTTGTTTCATCGCTAAATGGGTAAATAAAAATATATAAGTCCTTGTATATTTCAAGAATATTCTATATATATAAAAGAAAGTCTTGTTAGTTATACTATTTATAACTCAAGAACGGCTTTACTAATATGGCTGAAAATTGGTGAGGAGGTAGCTCAGAGCCAGGTGACGGACATAGGATAATATTTATTCATTTTTTTTTAAATCATTTGTGCCTTGAAGAGCTGCCTTTTTATATATATCCTCGCGGACGGAGTCCCGGGCGACAGCTAGTTAATGATAAAATTTGTTATGTTTAACAAATGAGTATCGTTATAAATGTATAATTAAAAAAAAACAGGTAAAAACATTGGTACAAGTAAAAATACTTAATAATGACAAAGCAGCTGCTAATTAAAACAATTGCTTTTGTTACACTTGACACCTTTTGTCATTCGAAACCCGTCAACTGCGGTGACGTAACATAAAATGGTCCCTACACAAAAACCACATCTGCAGTAACTATTCACTATTGAGCTCAGCTGACCCGCTAACATCATCCGAATGTGACAGGCAGAGATATTCGCCTCGTTAGTCGGGATTTTGAAGACTGCAAATGCTCTTCAGGGATTTCCGTTCTTAGGATGATTTCAACGGATTTACTATGGCGTGTGTTTGAAAAGAATATGTAATGATGTGGTGAATTTGCGAACATTACGTTCACTTTTTATAAACATAATTATTTATATTTTGATTCTATTTAACCTGTTCAGGTCTATCGCAATCTGGTGATTTCTTTTCATCCTCTGAAGTATATAGGGGTCGTCACAGAGTGCCATATCTCGCTCTAGTCTGTGCTCTAGGGTCAGTCTCGGGACATTTCAGTACGAGCGTTTTCATATCAGTCGCCATTGGCAATTAAATTATTTAATTATTAACATTGCATATATTTTCTAAACTGTTTTTCGTTAATTAAGTTACATAACTGACTTCGCAATTTCGATGAGTGCCAGTCACATAATAATATTCATCAGATGAAAATGTTCTGAGAGCTTCACCTTTATGAATTCGTTATTAAAATCTATTCTCACTTTGTTATTAAGAGCGTCCATTGATGAAAATTTAAGTGCGTCTCAAAATTTTTAGGTCGAGCCTGCCTTTTAAGTAGGACCAAGGATGAATTTAAATAAGCTTTCAACAACATCGACTTGAGAGTTGCATAAATATTAATGTTCTGCGCATTGCAGGCTAATGGCCGAGGATTATCTGAAGGCAAAACTCAACGGGAATAAACCGTAGTGGAAGAAGACTTTAACGATTGGAAATCATGAACTTAATTGGAAATCAAGAAGTCAATTGAGTTGTTATTTATTTAAAATTTGAATTTCACTTAGAAAAGGCATAAATACCTACTATTTTACCTAACAAGTTTTGTTATGTGTAAATTTGATGGTGATTCCAAAGGAAAATAACAGTTTTGTTTCTTTTATTTCTCTCTAATCCTCACTATTCCGTGGCATTTCACCTTGTTCACTTTTGTGTAGTAAAACGACCGCTGACATGGATTTCATGTGTGTCAATTGTGGTTTAACCTGTTTCTTTATTTGAATAGTAGAATATACAAAAGTCGTGCAATGTCGACAGGTTAATAACATAGTACAGGATGATCATTACCAAAAAAGGCGGTTGCGCAAAGGTTAATTATTAAACTTGTAACTTGCAAGTTCTGGTTAAATGTTTGATCAATGTGAATTTTAACTTACCTATAAATATTATATAATGTGAATGTTTGGATGGATGGATGGATGTACGTTTCAAGGTATCTACGGAACGGCTAAACGGATCTTAATGATATCAGGCACATATGTAGATAATAGTCTAGAAGAAGACATAGGCATTTTTAAAATTCGGCTCGGACGAAGTCGAGGGCGACAGTTAGTGTGTACCTACATAATTTATCCGACGTTCATACGGTTAACGAAAACATTGTGATGCACCCTGTACATATCTGCGAAGAAATTTAAAGGTGCGTATGAAGTTGCGCACTGAGCCTAAATAATGATAAAAATAATATTGGTTTAAGCTTTTAACAGTGGTAGAGCCCGCTTTAACATCTTCGCACGAATCGGCCCGGCTCGCCCGGTGTAATACCACGACCACACAGAAGACAGGCGTGAAGTGGAAGCAATTCCGCGTTTCGTCTGATGAGTGTGCGTCCCGGAGGCCTAATTTAGTCCTCTTTCCCTTCCCACCCTTTTTCTTATAAGGAAAGGATGGAAAGTGGAAGTGGACTTTCCGGATGAGAGGATGCATGGGAAGGGAAGATATTTTCTTTTTGTGCATCCTCTCCTCCGTCGATTAAAGGTAGGCAACGAATATGCAATTGCGTATGTATATGGGCAACGGTGACTTCGCTATTTCAGCGATTTCAGGTGGCCGCTCGCTCGTTTGCCACCTTATGATATATATAAAAAAAAGAACAGTTGTAACTAATATATTACATCTACGCTGACAATAACTATGCCACTGTCCATGAATATTAATTGTTTATATGAGAAAGTGTTTCCCGTTCTTCGTTTATCGTTAATGTTAGATTTTCCGATCATTATTGACGCTTCCATTAAGGCGCTGTCAGTCAAAGCGGACTGTTGTTGTTTACATTAAAAAGTACCTTTTTTTCCTAAATTAATCACACTTTTTTCACATCTCCGCCCACTTCAGTAACAAAGAGAAAATGTTTTAACTTTCAAAGACAATATCATTTATTTTTGCTTTCAAATTACTATAGAACTCTGGGTAAATTAAAATTGTAGTCGTTATTAAAAGAGAGATTTTATATTTATTATATCTAAGAATGGTGATAAATTTGGGTAGCTATTTAGAACTTAATAAGTCGTAGTTCAACATTTTCATTTAATGGTATCAAGTATATGAAAAAGATAGTAAATATCTCCGAGTTTTATCAAATATTTGATATTATAATGAAACTCGTAGTTGGACGTTGTTCGTGTGGTATTAAAAAATATCTGATAAATACATACAGCCTATGTTACCCCTGAATAGTGTAGCTACCAAACAGTGAAAGAGTTTTTCAAATCGGTTCAGTAGTTTCGGAGCCTATAAATTAAAAACAAACAATCAAATCTTACCTCTTATAATATTATCTTTATATGAAACCGACTCTTTCTTTTGTTTCAGAATTAAACGCAGTGAAGATAGTGAAATTAGTAGTGCCAGAAATTATACAGTACGGTGTACAAGACGCCGTGATCTTAGACTGTGATTACACATACGGAAACGACACGTCTGGGCTAGTGGTGAAGTGGTTCTTTAGGAACAAAGCTAGGCCGGTGTACCAATGGATTGTGTCACAGAAGCCGCAGGATATGGGTATATTGAGGGGTCGAGTCGATTTAACGTACAGAGCATCGAACGATCCATTAAAAATGCACAGAGCACTCCGCATAGTGAAACCGAACACAGACATTTCTGGTGATTACACTTGTGTCGTGTCCACTTTCATGGAGGAAGACTCGAGGACCAAGCAAATGGTTGTTTTTGGTGAGTTGCTTTCGATTAGAATATTTAATACTTTAAAAACAATGGTGACTTAATAGTATCAAATCGTAATATTATACATTTTATTGGTAGGTAGAGTTTCGTACTCTGTCTAGAAACAGTGTAGAATATTTATGTTTGAAAAAGAGGTAACTATATATAAATAATAGTAGAAAAGAAGAATTCTCTTTGAAGAATCTAATTGAAATTTGGTATAGATAAAGAACATAGTCTGCAAAATCACGTAGGCTACTGATTGATTGTTTTCCATTTCATTTGAGCTTAAATCAGATTTATCGTTTCAGGTTAAGCGTTAAGTTACTAAGTGTAATCTTAGATTAGTACACCGCATAAAAAATACAAC